ATTGGTATTCACACCCACATCCACACTTACACCTCACACTCACACACATCCACAGCCACACCCAACTTTTGTAGAATATAATTAAGTTCAGATCAAACGTTGCTGAAGTAAAGTAATAGATTATTTATTGGGAACTTAGAACATATCTTTAAAATATGAATCGGTTCAGAATAAACATGAACGGTTCATATATATAATTAAGACCTATAATTAAAGCTAGTAAAGAAATTATTCTAAGAATCATATTTACAAGTATTAATTATATTAATAGAAACCATATTATTGTCTAATTGAATTGATAGTATGTCTAGAAGCGATATAGAATATGCATGTATTAGGGTGTGTGTCAGCCCTCTCTGGTTTCATATCCATATATCAGTATTATGTGCTGAAGAAAAATGAAAATAAGCAAATAAAAAAGAATGTCTTCTTTACCGTTGCATGTTAAATGCTGATTATTTCAAGCATTGAAAAATCAGGGTATTTTATTTGCCTGTCATAATGTACATCAATGCGAAGATATAAATAGTAACTATTGACATATTTTGTAACCATAAGGCAATAAAAACTTCGCTTTTATTGAATCTCTGTATTGAACAGTGTGTTGATATCATAATACTGATATCGATATTTTGTTCTTAAAAAGACCTTCAGATGTGGATGGTGTAGATGTTAGTTCCATAAAACGTGAGACTCACAACTCACCTCTATCGGCACCCACACCCACCCTCTTCAGTCCATTATTGCATCTTTTAGGTACAAATGTAAGACTTTTAAAGAAGAAAAAAGGTCGAATCATGCATCCTCCACCATTTCTTATCTCTTCGTTAATTGCACACATGTACATTTGTATGCTAACAAATTCACAATGCATTCGTTCTATGATTGTCTCTTTAGGGATAGCAATGTTAGCTGTATGTATGACTAGTCCTAATTAACAATCTTCCTAATGAGCTGTCATTTGAAATTTTGAAATTGCACTTGCTGGATGAGAGAAAGTTATTTCGTACTTTTGTTTTATTGAGAGTTGATTCTATCAAAAAAAAAGTATTTTTAGAAGCCTGTAGTCATACATAACAGAGTGTCACAAGACTTCAAACTAAATCAAACGGCAAGTTATTTTTCTGCAAGAGAAAAAGTTTCGTTCATACCATCGATTGTAGGCTTTTTCTCTTATTTATGGATTCGCATACAAGTGACTCTGCTTCGTCTCATCTCGTCGATTCGCTATTACTATGTGCAACACAAATACGGAGATTTCTTACCAAAACCATCGTTTACTGATACATCTACCTCCGAACTATTCTACCAACGCAGCACCATATCTCTCGTACATTGATTTTCATGGAAGTATGATTTTTCTCTTTTCAGTTCCAATATCACCCGATTTGTTTAAATAGGTGGATTCATCTGTATTTGCATAAGTATCTGTAGAAAAAACTCACGGATAAAGATACTAAAATTTAATGTGTCATTTTTTCCTTTGCCAGCGATAAATTTTATTTTCGTTCTGTTCGAACTTGCTTTTTAATGAATGTCAATAAAATGACGAGATAATCTACGCAAGGAATCGGCTTCAATTTTACTTTTAATGACTTTTCATTCTTCTATGAATGAATTCAACAAATGCACATTTGAAAAAAGAAATCAGTGGATGATATTCAAATAACTTTCGGTACGAACAACAGAAAGAGGTGCAATCTTAGTGTGTATATACAGTTAGGTATCGATTTCACTGTGCCACAATATAGGACTAATATCTGCGAACATACTCATCACCACACACTGAAAAAAACACCTTACAGAACTTCAAAAGTTTCGTGATAATTTACTATACATCAGAAGATTTCCATCGGGTGTCAGAGTAGGTTTACGTGTGGCGATGCAGAGAAACTCCACATAACACCCTTGCCATGCCCGCAGCCACACCCACATCCACACCCATGTCATTATCACTCTCAATGATATTAATTAAATAATGGTTTCACAAATCTTTATAAAAGTCCTGTAAATATCTATTTTACACTGATTTAATTTGAATAAAATTAAGACAATACAGCAAAAAAAAGCAAACAAGACGCGCTTAGCTTTGTGCGGATTTTAAGCTTTTCACTAAAAGTATATGTGATTAGAATAAAAATGATAATCAAGGTAGCAAAAAAAAAGAAATTCAGAATCATAATGTCTGGTTCGGTATTGTATAAAATACTCCTTGTTTAATAACACTATAAATTTTTCTTGTATTAGTGATATCAATAGAAGGATCATCATATAATATAACTAAATCAGCAACTTTTCCAGGTTCAATAGTACCATAATATTTATCTATTCCGATAGCTTGTGATGCTGTTTTAGTAGCAGACGTTATTGCTTCAAGTGGACTAAAACCACATTCATGGACAAATAATTCAATTTCTTTGTGTATGTTGGGAAATTTGTCACCTAACTCACTTGAACCGAGATCATCTGTTCCTGCACAAATACGAATACCTAACTCATGTGCATTACGTGTTACATTAAAAATCCATTGTTGACCTATTCGAGGAAAATCTAAATCGTTATTATGAGATGCTGTAGATGCAGATGAACGAAACATAGAAAAATATGAATTAGCTCTAATAGAATCAGGTTCAGTAAAAACATAAACAGTAGCATCTAAAATTACATCAGCTTGTTTAATCATTTGTAAAAGATTAGTAATATTTTGAGAATTATAACTATGATTTACATAATCACCATTAAATCGAACTTTATAACTTTGTGGCATTGGATCATATGATTCAAATACAAAATAAGCTGTATGTGATAATACTTCGATGCCAGCTACAGTAAAGGAAAAACTGAAGTTTAGAATCAATAATAGAATCTTTTATTGATACGCTTACCGGAGACTTCTTCTGATGGTTTGGTTGGAAAGATAGCACTATGAGCCCATATTCGTAGACCTTGCTTTTTAGCTTCTTTGGTAATAGTCACAGTCAAATTCTTATCTAAGTCAGCATAAATTTTAATTCCGGTAACACCAATATCAACTGCAGATTTAATAGCAGCAGGAATATCTGTTGTGTTTGTAATACTTCTTAACCATCCCGTTGCTCCTGGTACAGTCCCATGTGCAGCTTGTTGTACTCTTGGATCAAGCATGAAATCTGGTCCACCAATTAAACAAGAATAATATATTCTTGGATAAGGAATTTTTGGTAAGAAGCCTAATGATACATAAGGAAGTAGAAATGGTACATCACCACCCATATCCCGAATACTAGTAATACCCCCATAAAGTGCAAATGACAATAAAATATCCATATGGGTAGCATTTTGAGGCCTAAAAATATAATAACAAACGAATTGCAGAATATGAAAGAAAAGTCGAATATGAATGCTTATCATTCTGAACTTGTATGTGTATGAGCATCAATTAAACCTGGTATTATAAATTTTCCCTTTAAATCAAATACTTTTACAGTTGGATACAAATGTTTTATTTGATCGTTATTAACAAAATCCAAATCGATGATACTATCAATGAAACCTTTATCATTTATAATTAAACCACAATTTGGTCGTGGATTTCCACCATTACCATCTATTAATGTAAAGTTAAACAGTAATGTTGATTGAACCACTTTGCGTAATAAACAGTTACGAAAAAGAAAGTAAAATAATAATAACAGAAAAAGTATATTATTGGCGATTTTCATTTTGTAAATTAGTTTACTTCAAATCTAGAAAATTTGAGGAAATACAGAAACAAAATAAACAAGCATCCTCTTCAACGGAAATGAAGCATAATTCGACACTATGGAAACTTAACATACTAGCGTAATAGTTAAAATATTCCATATAAAGTGATTAAGAAAGAGAACTAATATGATCCAACAACGTTTTAGGGCTCATAAAATGGCATACGCATTACTAGAAATCAATATTTAGATCGAATTTTAATTATATCTTATATTAATGAGGTGGAACCAGAAGTACAATTAGCATTTCTTGTAACACACATGCCTAGAAAATATGAGCTAGATTGTTTGAGATATGGATCAATTCTAAGAAGAGGCTGGGCACTTATGTCACGTACTGTTACTCATGGGATGCTATGTTGAGAATGAGATGGGTAGCTATAAATCTTACTAAAGATGACCATAAATTCATCAAAAGCTACAAGAAATCCCATTCTGTTCATTATATAAATGTTTCACTTTTAGACTACTTAGTACAATATTCAGTGGTAGCATGTAAATTGATTACTGGTATATGTGATAGGATTATCGTGAATATCTATATTTTTTCATGTTTGTCATCGAAAAAAGAAAGTAAGATCAGCTGTTGTTGTAATAACCACAGAGTTTACGTTCTTTAGTTGCATTTGAGTTAAACTTATCCATTACAATGAGAGGTTTCAAAGATAACATGATAAAACGAGAGACTTCAGAAATTTCTTAAATGCTGATTTGAAAATATTCGACATCAGAAATAAAGACAGAAAGTAAAAGCTTGTCAACATAAATGCTCATGGGGTTAATATATGAAACTCGCATACAGTCACTTTCAGGATCAGAAAATAGATTTTACAAGTTCAAAAATTTCTTCTGAAGTCAAAAATAACTGAAATCGAATGTAGCTCTTCTATCTATCCAATACGAATATTTTCTGCATTTTCTCTTCAACTAGAGGCTCTACTTTTTTTGTTCGATTGTTATTATGTTGCTATCGATCATTTTCAGTTTTCAGCTCATTTTTCGTTAGTCATCATTTGTTTTGTTTTGATTCCATGTTCATACCCATATCCCTACCACTCATTTAAGTCACATTGCTCGACCGATTTTTTTTGAAAGTTTTTTTTTTTTTGACAGCTCACTTCTACCGCTTATATTAAACAGAGATTTGCGGAAGAACAGTGACGCTTGATAGAATTTACACTGCAGGCACAAAAGGAATCAATAGAGCGTGGCAGGTACAGGTAAGAGAAATGCGATGTACCAGACGACAAGATTTCTAGTGAACTTTGATTGTTTACACTTCCTAATGGTTATTAAAAGTCATCAGTGTCTGTGTTGACAGAGGAGTAAGAAATTTTCTGGATACAAACTTATACTTATTATTATTTTATAATGAGTTTCATAAAAAAAAAAGTATTTCTACATTAGCAATAAAGGGGTGTGGATATCAATTTTGTGATAACTCACATCAACATCCATACCCACCCCATACCTACCTTTTTGTTGTTGATTCTTGAGTTCGACAAGTTGCCTACTCAAGTCAGCGATATAAAAGCGCAGCTTATGAACTCGTTCAATGTCTCCTAAGCGAAGAGCCTTATTAACAATGCGATAGATAAAGGTATCCTTGACATACCAATAAACAGCATCAGTCGACCGATATCTTTGTGCAAATTGGTGAATGGCCTTGAGCTGCATGACACTATTGTTATAGTACTGATAACATCGATCGAGTATGGTTGACCTGCTTATCGTACTGTCAGTGACGGTTATACAGTCGTTGAACTACAGTTATGCCAAACTGTAAATAATCTTCTTGCTCATGATCTAATCAAAAAATGATAATAGCAGAAGGATTTGTCAAAGTTTCCTCAAATATTAAACAAGTCTCACTGATGACAACATTTGTGAAGGATCTAATAATAATACGGGTGTTGCATAGACCTTGGAACAAAAAAAAAGAGAAAAACATGGAAGTGATCGCAGTGAAATTCTAAGTTGACACTTCGAATATCTTAGAAAGATATACTGTTCAAATATTTGAGCGTAATACATTCGAAAAGCTTATCTGAATCTTTAGCGCATTGATGGCTCTTAGAATGCTTTTGCCAAAGCGCATTCAACAAATGAAAAAACAGGGCAATTTTCCCATTATTCAACTGATATCGATGGGCTTCATCTTTCGAAATTTCTCACATCACATATTTTAAAGCCTCTTGAAAATTTCTACAATTTTGTCATAGAAACTAATTTCAAAACACTTCTTCATACAATAAAAAAATCGGTGTTCTTTGTGTGGTTGGCACTAAAAGGTGGGTGTTTGTGACACTGTTACCATGGTTTCTCAGAAATTTAAACAAATGGAAATTTGATTTCTTTTAGCAGTGAGTGCATAATATTACACGTATGAGTAAAAAATATAATCGAGATCGATTGAGTAGAACTCGACTCATGGGTTTTTTTTTCTTTTCAAGAGACAATTGCATCAAATACGGAGCATTGAGATAACAAAATGATATTTTTTCTCAAAACAACAGTGTCAAGTAGATTAACACGTCATATCATCGAAATCTTTTTAGCTCGATTTAAACAAAACTTAAAATTTTTTAGATATGACCCATCTTTTGCTGAGCCTCATTCCGCCTGAACACGTTTCGATTCGCCTAAATTGCTTTGGATCATTCTGAAGTCTTTCTTGAAATTTAAATGTCTGGAATACATTTTTGAATGTTCTAAATGGTACAGTTTCTGATTTTTGTGCAGATAAACGATTATATAATAGATGTCAATGATAATTGTTAGTGATGCATCGATTCACTACAGTTGTCATATGACCAACACAAAGATCATGAACTAATCAGTTTTTAACTTTTAAGAATAATCAGTATCAATGTTTCTGAGTCTATTAAGATACATAACAGAGCGGTGAAGTCTGCTACGGAATTAAATGTATGTGTACAGTAGGGTGTGGGTGTTGGTATGTGGTTGTGAATATTGTCTTCATCCAAATCTACACTCGCACTCTCAGCTAAACCAATGCTTTGAAGAATAAAAATAAAAGTAACTTTAGAAAAAACCGAAATAATAAAATAAACTAAATAACGATCAAATAGCAATGAGGTAACGAAAAAATAAAAGTCAATAACAAAATAACAGAAAAAATTCTGTTCGAAATGCAGAAATAAATACGATGAATCGTTTCTCTGACAATCAATTATCCATGAAAAGCAACTATGACTGACACGGATTTTTTACTTTATGTATTTTGTATTAGTATAATGAAACTACAGCAGATATGCAAGTTCCACATTTCAGCCTGTGAAGGACCCTACTGATATATCTTTTCAGAATATAACGCATCTGAAACACAAGGACCGAATGCTTTCAAACGCAGTTAAAACCATTCTTTTTAAACGTGTTTAGACGTGATACAATATTTTATCAGTGTCGCATTTATTTTGTGATTCATGTTTACATGGATGAATGATGCGTTACCGCTATTCTAAAATAAATCAAATCTCGTTTTTCAGTAATTTCTTTTGAAGAACCAGAGAACGAATTCAATTGATGTTCATTCGCTCGGTTCGATTTGGTTCGAGTTCGACCAAATTTTTTCATGCTTGTATGTTAATCTTAAATTAGCATGAATAGGAGCTGTTACTAATAAAATGTACAAACTCGATTGACTTTATAACTTTACCATACATATGTAAACCAAAAAGAGCTTATGCACTTTTTATAGGCATCAATATTAACTAATGCCAATTTATGACTACTACTATTTAAGTATCAATACAAAACCTTAAATTATATTTTTACTATTGACACGTAGATGCTAGCAGTTTTTTACACTGATACTGGTCTTACAAACTTACGGACGGCTATTTATCGCAGTTCAAAACGATGACAAAAATCAAGAGAGAAAAGATTAAAAAAATTACATCGCATATAAGAGGACATAGAAAGATTGAAGCAAAAAGTAGATAAGCTATCGCTTAAATAACATACATCGAACCCAACGCATATCTATTCACCAGCTGTTGTGAATCTCACACAAACTTTCGCAGAGAAACAGTCGATCATTACTGATTGAAATATTAGGTCTTTAACTCATTCGATGTGACTCAAGTAAATGCATGCTGAATGAGTGAAATAAAAATGAAAGATTGTCGATAACAATGAAAAAAAAAGAACGAGAATCATATGCTTTATCATTCTCAGTGAAAAATATTCATAAAAATTTCAGAATTATTTTTGATTATAAACAAACTAACTTGATTATGATTAAGAAACTGAATTATCTGATTGTTCTATGTACCAGCCAGCTATCGAAAAACTCTGCTTGTTTTTTTTTCTTTCTAAATTGCGACATTTTGATAATCATTTGGTATGACACATTTTATACTTGGTATATTGAGGAGACTATTTACTACTTCTACAAGTAAAATGAATACGAGGCGAGCATAATCATGATGATGGTAAGTAACAAGATAAGAGTGTGTGTCGAACAATCTGATATCATTTTATTTTCGAATAATGCATCAACTACAAGTCATATTCATTGAACTTGTTCTTCTCTTCTGTGGAAATCTTGCTTTATCATCAGCAACTACATGCTACACTGTGAAACCGTTTCAAACATATTTATAGAGTACGAGTTTCGCATTCCATTTGATTCTTTTTCAATCTATAATAGGATTCCACATTATGGAAGCATATTTCTGTACGATCCATAATCGTCATCATGTGTATTCTACCGAAATTTTTCATTAAATATCGATGACAATACAATGATATTATACTATTTCGTACCAAGATCTGTAACTATCGTGAATAATATATCTCCGATGATGGATATGCCTGTCGAGAGTGCCATTTCGTTTCAACGTTTATTTTTACTTTCCAAGCAATAAAGACCGTCAAAGAAAATGCCTTTAAATGCGTCAAGATCTCGTTATAACGTCATTTTAACGATAATATGTTGTTAAAACAATGTTTTTACGAATTTTAAAACACGTTTAAACATATTAGGAGGGTATGAACTTCCCAAGTGAGCAAAAGACGGGGTAAATGACTCGTCTTTTTTCTAGTCATGTCGGCTAGTCATGCCTAGTCTTTGTCTCAAATTCGACTATAATATGACTAGTGCGAGATTTTTGACCGTCATGAAGCCCCGTCTAAATCATATGATTGATGGGTGACATTATACGTGTCTGGTCTAGTCTTTTTTTTTGAGAAAAACTCGTCTAGGACTGATCTGAAGTCGGTTGATACGGGACGTTATTGTCTAATATGCAGACTAGTCCTGGACGAGGATTTTTTGAGACAAAGACTAGTCAGGACGGATGACAGGGACGCTCTTCCAAAAGTCATTTAAAATTGAAAAAGTAAGGACATCAGCGACGGTACATAGGACGAGTTATGTAGCCTTATGTAGAGGACGAGTCTGGACTAGTCTATATGGAAATATATAAAGATGAAGATTAGATTCGAACATGCATACAATCTATCACTTACCCATCGTTTAGACCATTGAGCCATATAATCAAGAGAGCAACTTCTACATATTCATAATCATTCTTAGATACTGTTTACTACAATTTTACTCAAAGTTTTTAAAGTTCTCATATGAATCAAAAAATTATCTTTTACAGAATATGAGATTATTTAGATAACATTAAACAAAATAAATTTAAAAAATTTTATATTTTTTTGGAGGAAAATATCTTTTGATTATTATTAACTAAAAGTAATTAGTTGCATTAAAAAAAATAAGGGTGTGGGTGTTGATGTGAATGATCACAAGATTGATATCCATATCCACACACCCACACTTACAGATATCGTTGAAAACTTTGACGAAAAATCAATGATCGATAAGTGTGAAATCAGTAATTCAAATTAGATTTCTCTCAAAAATAGTCATAATATCTAATCACCGCAAAATTTTGATAGAATTTGCTAGAAAATACGAGTTGATGCTGTTCGACTTATATACGCTAATGATGTTAAAGAATTTCTTTTGTAGTGCTAGTGGCCATGTCTGCTTGCAAAGGTGATTCTGCTTCTTCAGTTGTCGTCGGTGCCTTTGGTCCAGTATCAATTGATGAAAATCCGTAATGACAAATAATAAGTGTCGTCAAGGAGACTACCATGACGGAGATGAGTGTCAACAGCGATACAGTAAATGAGAAATAATTTAGTAGTAGAAAACCAAGCGCTGATGAGCCTGCTTGAAATAGTCTGAAGTTGGCGAAAGCATCGGAAGGCCGCGTCTGTCCAAAGAACGTGCCTAATATAGCACCTATCTCTATGCTCAAAATGGTATCGCTCATGGTAATTCCAGTAGCTAGTATTATAAATGCGTAAATATTTTGTTGATCTATAGGTGGTTTCCAGATAGTAAGGAGAAGTGCGTAGAGAGCAGTCGGTAGTAGTAAACTCCAAATACAAACGGGTAAACGACGACAAAATCGATCACTAAGCTTTCCAAATGCTATGGCACTAATTGTGTTTACAATATTTGCTACAGCGAAGACAAAATATTTATGAGTCTTGTCCTTAATTAGTGGTGGTAGGCCAGCATACATAAACGATTGTTGGGCGCCATAGTAGACCATTGTTGGCGCCAGAAGCAGAAAATGAGCATCCTTTAGCAGCGATAAACTGGAGATTATTGAGTTTTGTTTTCGTTCTAAAGAGTAAAATGAACGCATATCGGTTATCAAAAAGAATTTTGTTTCTATCAGAGCTATTTTCCAGCAAAAGTCGATATTCTAACTCTTGATTTCTTACTGACGGCAAAAGAATCGTTTACTGAAGAAGGTTCAGGTATTTTAGTCAGATCGTGTTGAGTTCTAGAAAACTTGTGATGAACTTTTCTCAATGTCTGATTTAGACAAAAACCGAGCATCCCCATTCTATACCTGTTTTTGGTGGCATATGTACAGGTCGCAGTAGACATAAAGTAATCGTTCCAAAAGCACAAATGATAGTCATAATAGAGAAAATGATCCATTCACGCAACTGAAGATAGAACAGTAGAGATGTGAGTAGAGTCCCTAGTGCTTGACTAAATTGAAACATTCCAAAAAAGATTCCGTTCATAAAACCACGCGTTGATGAAGACACGAGTTGATTGCGAGCTTCATGATCATTAGTTGCTAGAGTCAGATACGCACCTTGAGCCGTCCACAGGGTCGCTGCACCAATACCCAGAGCAAAGCAAACAACGTATAGTATCCACTTGATATATACGATGTTACAAGCAGCAAAAGCTATGTAGATAGAACTAGCTAGGGCAAGTGACAAGCGAAGACCTAATACTTGTACTAAATAGGATGATAAAATCAAGCTCGACACACAGAAACTTGTGTAGAGTAGAAATAAAGCAATGGCACCGGCACTGGGATCTGCAGACGATGTTTGAAACATTTGTACCACGAAGAACGACATGAAAATGAGTAGAAAAGAGAAACTCAAATGAACAATTTTGAAAATATTCGATCGATTCATGTTTGCAAAGCAGATGTCGTTTTTTGTTACAAGGTTGTTTTATTAAAAATCATCTAATCACCACAAGATATATGTTTTATTGATTCTTGTCAGCGGTTTATACGATTGAGGTTGACAAAACCACGTATTGCAGCTGTTCTTTTTCTTGAATACTCCCTAAATCTTATCAGTTACAATGAAAGTAATGAGGAGTTATCAATATCAACCACGTGGACACATATTTACTCTGTGCCTTACCGAGTATAGATAACATTTTCACTTTCTTTTAACTTTCAGAAATCAAAGAAAAATTCTTTTTTTAACTTTTCTTTCGAAAAAGAAAGAAAGACAACAATGAAACGTTTTTTTTTTGTTAGAAATTGATAGTATCTGTATCAATCGATTATACTCGGAATAAAACAATAATTATAATAACAATAGCTCTAATGGACTCTATACTTTCTTTTCTTTTCGCAAAGTTTTCTATTCACTAATCTTATTAGTGCATCTGATCTTCTCATGAGTTTATCATATGTGGTTGCGAAAAATACTAAATGAGACTGCAACCATTTCATTATTGATTTACGTTATTTGTTATTTTACCTTACTATTGTGCTATTTTTTTAATTAAAAACATTTTTCGAATAAAATACGATTTCTATATTTCTAACATTAAAATAAAGCTTTAATTAGTAACACAACAAAATAATCTTTTCTTTTATAACTACAGCATTGCCTTTCAAGATTTCTCTATTTCGATATTTTTATTTTCGACATTTCACTTTACCGAATTCAGGTTTACTCATTAGTTATTTGTACATACCTACTTCATAAGTTTCTATAGAGAAGAAGGATAAAACGGGTCTTCTTCAATATCAGAAAAAGAAAAGAAACATTCGGAACTTCATGTGAACGCGAGAGAATATCCAAAAATAGCCTCGTTGGCAACTAACGACAACTACAGTATCTCTTGCTAGAATACACATAGCAATGGATGTAGTATGGACTAATGGACTCCACATTGGCTCACGCCGACTTAGGCTCACATAACACGACCAATCTGAACTGTAGCATCAATGAGTCCACAAAAAAGAAAATGACAAGTATAATAAATCGGTATAGCACGGACTGCAATCTGATTGGTGCAAATAAGAAGGGAAAAATTATATACGCAATATTGTTTGTATCGTGTAACTTAAATATAGCTGTTCTTAACCAATATTTATTATTTGTGGGAAAAGGATAATTCCAGTTTTGCTAGAACTAGTTTCATAATTGTATTAACCACTTTTTAAAACACTCAAATCTTTCAATATCTATAATCATGAAGTTCATGAAAAATTCTCAAAATAATTGAAAATAATCTATGAAACATTTGTATAGGAATCATGTAATATAACCTTTTTTTACTTTTATTAGATATGGAAATCCATTTCGAACATTTTCCTAACGAATTATTAATTGATATTTTGGAATATCTTGATGCTCGTGATCTGTTTTATGGTTTTTGGGGACTTAATAAACGATTTAATCATATTTTACAATCGCTTAAAAATATTTCACTTACAATGAAGAACGATGAATCAAAATTAATTTCATTATTTGCACCTCAAATTAAAAGATTAATCGTCGATACTTGTCTCAATATAGATTTAACTCAGTTTCCTCATTTGCATTCATTAATCCTGCTTGACTTGACAGAAATTCAACTTAGACAAATTCAATCGGAATTTATGCCTCATCTTGTTTACATTTCGATTTCACCAGACAATAAATCTTGCATTTTATCTCAATTAATTCAAAGAATATTTTCACAAACATTATCATCACTTCGCTGTGTTAATCTTGGTTGTGTTCGTTATCCTGTATTTCACATGTTTCAATCATACGTTCTTCAATCAATAACAATTAACTGTACTTCATCAATTACAGTACCATATATACTTCTTGCATCTCCCAATCTATCTAATCTTCGAGTGCATTTTGAAGAAAATAACTTCAATATTTTCTATAAAAATCCAACGATTCCAAATCATCCTTTGAAATATTTCATTCTATCTGATCCTTATGGTTTGTTGTGTTTTAAACACGTCGATACTTTTCTTACATATATGCCCAATCTCAAACGAATCAAACTAAATTTTAATTGTGATGTTCTATTTATTCAATTAGCTAAAACTGTTGCAACTAGATTAATTTATTTAAACCGATTTGATTGCCATATTGATAATACATCAGCTGATGCCGTAACGAGCATTGATGAAATACAACAAATACATCCATGTTTTGTTCGGATTAAATGTATTACAGGTAACTATGGTTATCGAATATATAAAACTGACTGATGCATGAAGAAATTTTCGTTTATAAAACTATGTATTTAAATAGTTGATCATGAAATCATCATACCTACATTATTTTAAAATATATACCAAGTTTACATGGATAACCAGTGAAATCTATTCAGTTCAAATTTGTCATTTGTTGAAAAAACATGACAAACAAAGAAAGAAGTTTAAAATTTGAAGAAAAAACACAGCAAATATTCCACACTCGAAGTAATCGATAGATTTGTTCACTTCGAACTTGTATAATAATACATTTACAGTCAACTACTCAGAAAAAACAATATACAGAAAGAATTAAAAAACTCAGAACTGTCTTTGTCATATCCGACATTTTGGCTTTGTTAAAATACCATCGTATTAAACGTATTCAGAGTCAATGATTCTTCCAAACATATTTTAATCTATCGCTGCAGACTAGACCTATACGTGTATGATCATTTTCTGTTGTATACTATTTTTTTGAGATGCCATCATATTCGTTGTATATAGTATAGGCGCACAATGAATCTGGTACAACCTTTTGAACATTTTGATGCTCAACAAAATCCAATAGTACATACATCATCCAATAGAAGAAATCTTATTGTACAAATGTGTATATATGTCGCTCCTGAAGAAGAGTTGGCTAAGAGTCTTTGATGAGTCAATTAATGATCGATCCAATGAATTCTAAATGCAGATTTACGAAAATGCTATTTTCAAATTATTTTTCATTTGAGTAAAATTTACGATAATAACTGATTAGTGCAGAATACTGTTTACTTTTGATCTACGTAAGTCTTATATCTACAGAATATTTCATTAAAGATTTGTGAAATTTTTACTGAGTTTCGATTTCAGCCTATTCAGTAGAAATTATGTCGAGTAGTATTACTGTGCCAACTCGAATGGTCATATAAGAATGTACTTTTAATTGTATCTTCACATCGATCTTAAATAATAATATATAATACTAAGGTTTTTTATTTGTATGTCGACATTTCTAATACAGATGTTGTTTCTTTTTTATCGGCATCTTATTTTTTTTTGTTTTAAATTGTTACTAATCCAGCCTCGTCATGATAATGAAATTTTAATTAACTGAAAAGAGAATGATGACAGATACTTACACCTACACCCTCTATGTCAATACAGATGAACTTCAATTTTCACAAGATATTTTCGATATTCTGGAAATCGAAGCCTATTGAGATCATATTTTCTTAGACTTTCGTGAACCGAAAAATCAATAAGTAAAAATGTTAAGATAATATCGAGGAGAGCTTTTGAAAAAAAAACAATATAAATGGTCATGCAGATAAACTAGATTTATCAAATGTGTAGTCAATTATACGAGAAAATGATATTGATGTTTTACTTGCTCGAAGTAGCATTCAAGTAAGAATAGGATTATCATGCTATAGACTAGCTTATAAATTATACGCTTGTGTTATCAAAATAATATTTCTCTAAAATCAACGAGTAAGTTTTTCATTGTTTTCATGATCAATCAAAATATGATGTATTTATCTGAAATACATCAATAATGACTGTTAAATTTATTTTTCATTTCGTTGCATACAATCATCTTGCACGTGAGAATTTATCAAATGAATGTATTCGATTAGATGATGGTTTGTTGTCAAAGAATATGAACAGAAATTCTCAGCATGTTCAAGTTGAATTTATGAATCATCATTTAACAAACGAACGTCTTGATTCAACAGAAGAAACATATCAATATACATATTGTATGTTTACATTAGATCCAAGAAACAAGTCTGAAACTATATTTGGTATCGTCATACTTTCTCTAATGGACAATTTTAGTTTTTCGGATTTTTTTCTTTTCGGTACATTTGAATATGACGAAAAAACAACGAGATAAGATATAATAGTGAAGATAAACAATGTTCACTTTCAATAGGTCTTCATTTTTTAGTGGTTCTTGATCGAGCGAATGTTAAGTATTTTATTGTGAGTATTTTGGGTATGGGTGTGGGTATGGATTTTTTCTTCAACAGAACCCACACCCAAATCTTGAGAATAGTTGCCATTATTATCTATATCCAAGTTCGATCCTTCTAATAACTTGTTAAAATTTTTGCTTTTTTTTTACTGCTTTTTTTGAAAGAGTTTTTAGCTACCTTGGAAGTCGCATGAACTGATCATATTTCATTTGTTTGGTTGGTTTCAAAGGTTTCTCTTCAAATTTAGTGAAACTTCCTGTACGATCATATCAATTGCGTTCTAATACTACTGTCGATGAAATGTAGATTTATTGTAGATAGGTTGATCGCAAGTCAATTAATTCTAATTCATGAGTGAAAATGGAATCGTCAAAGGCTATTGTTCATGGAGACAGATTTGAATCAAAACTTCATTTTGTGTATTTTTTAAATCAAAAGATTCTGTTCTTATGCACAGAAAAGATGAAGGTATAAGGCTGTAGATCACCAGTATTATATTGAACATTATTTGATGCCTTCTGTTAATGAAGTATGGAAATAAACAGAGGCATCGGTTCAAAAAAGTACATAATTGCTTGATGATCATCGTTGACTTTATACTCATCTAATGGTACTAATTGTTTGACAGAACAGGACATCAATGTAATGCCACACTTGTTGTATTCGGCAAACTTGATACTATGTTATCTTTGACTAAATTATTCTATCGAACATAGTTTAACTAAATAAATAAATGAAACATGATCTACTCATGCAACTTCCAAGGTAGCTAGAAATTCTTTCCGAAAAAGGGGACAAAAAAAAATTTTAACAAGTTGTTAGAAGGATCGAACTTGGATATAGATAATACCGGCAACTATTCTCAAGATTTGATAAAATAAAATCAAAAAAATATCTCTTTATCTTTATATTTTTATTTAATGTTTTCAGAACTTTTAGTGAGTAAAAACAACTGATATTGAACAACATCAATGCTTTTTTTCTCTGACTTCGTGTAATAATATAATTTCTTTACAAGAATTGATAAGTTTAACGTCTGGTTTTTTGGAATCATTATTTAACATGACTGAAAGACTTCTCAATTCATGCAAGGCTACGACTGTCGATAGGAAGACAATGAGCTACAACATCTAATTTTTACACTAAACTTCATATTTTTAAGTTTCTTAATATCTAGATATTTTCGTAGTTGCATGAGGCTAGCGTTTGGTATAACTTGCCCCACAGAACGAGATCTTTTCCGATATTTTTGTAGTAGGGGGGACAAAATAGTATATGTTATGACAACAAAACTATAACTGTTAAACGTACTTCCTTACGTTTAACAGTCCTGTATTGGTACGCTTCTGAACAAATTACTGCATCTAGATGCTGACCATATGCTGCATCTTTGAGTTGTATCAGCTGATGTATGTTGTATAAATATGAAATCTAATTGACGATGTACAAAGAAAAATACTGGAAAATTCTGTGTTAGGTTACTTTTGGGCCACCCGGTACATGATGAGTATAACAAGAAAGAGAATAGAACAGAAGGAAAAGACAGGGTGTGGGTGTCTCCAAACTCATGTCTCAGCACGAACATTCATACGTATACCCACACCCTCAGCCACATCCCACATCCACGAACCTCACACTCACACTCTTAAATATACCCATCCATCCACTCACATCCGCACAGCTCTGCTTGTTTTAGTTATATTGATTTCTTTTCATTTCTTCAACGAAACCACTGAATTAACCATTCATTCAATTGTACAACTATATACCATCAGTTAAAAATCAAATCGATCATTTATATTTATACTTCCTGTTCAGTTTCTTTTTTGGATGAAATCAAAATATCTCTCCTTGTTGTACATTAGTATAGCAATGTACCAAAATTGTACTACTCTAGATATTGATTTTGGATTCCAACATTAGACAAACTAATAGCAAATCATCGTCGATAACTGTTTTGACTTTGAGTGGCAGCTATTTCTAGTATGACGTGTGATTTTGGATGGCGATTGACAATATACAAATATGTAACAAGGATGTTAATTCACTTTATTTTCAAAAATTTCAATTTCTGTTTTTCTTTTTTTGTATTTCAATGAGTTAGTACAAACAATTTGTTTTTATTTACAATTCAGATTAATACATAAAACTTCATTGCTGAACATATTGGAAATACAGGAAAAACTAGTTACATTCATGTTCATAAACAACATCAAAAGTAATATATATGCGAAACAACAAAGAATAGGTGTTACATTACAACATTGAAAAAATAGCAAATATGGTCTGAATATTGATTAGAACACAACTAATATAATAGCTTTGTTCTTTAAAATATACCATTTCAAGAAAAATTTTCCACAAAAAAAAATGTTGCTTGTTCAATATAATTCAATCAAAAATATTAAGATTAGTGTCAAATAAAATGTCAGTTATGTGTTTGTCTACCAGTTGCAAATGTATTACTGAGTCCTGGTGTAAGTGGTTGCCGACGAAATAAATTCATCAGCTCAGAACGAAACAATTGACTTGACATTAAAAATAGATAGAAACTCATGCATGGACCGAAAATGGTTGTTGCATTCATAACACTTAGTACAGAATTGTCTCTGACTTTTTCAAAATCATTTTTTATCATCACAGTGTTTGTTATTGATACGTAAAGTTGAAAAACTGAGTTGGCAGTTGATATTGAACCATACACCAAACATTGAATAATCAACATTTGAATTAATTGTCGGTCTACTTTCTTTTGATTACGTTGGACATTATTTTGCGTATTTTGCGTATTTTGCGCTGCTACTCTCTTCTTACCTTGACGAACATGTCGAATAGTTAATAAACCAAAAATAAACATACAAATAGTTGGAACCCAAGCAAAAAAAACCAAGTTCCATATAGAATAAAAAGCCTGATAAGAGCTTCCTGCAATAGCACATGATCGTGGTGATACGAAAATTGTATAATTGAAAGGCATATGACTATAAATAATACCATTCAATAAAATAGTAATTAGAATAGTACGAGAAGCAATACGAATATTGCTCC